AGCTCTAATTGCCTTATACTGTATTTCTGTTCTTCCCAAAGGTTAGAGACTGCTTGGTCCAAGGGACAGAGGAATGGCCAGGAGTAGATGGGTGAATGTCGTTTGTTATTTGATACATCCTGAATTTGAACCAAGTTAAATGTAAGGCTGTAACGCCATACAACTCCAATGTTGGAAGGCACTCAGAGACCCCTTGGTTTCTCTACCCACTCAGTTCGGTGAGAGAACTGGAATCTCATTATTTAGCTTGTTAGAGGACATCCACAGAGGACGTTCTTTCCATTTTGCTATTCAAAATACGTAACAGTCTACTACTGTAAGTACTATTGCCTTTTGTCACAATTATTTTCTCATTTTTGTGGTGGATGAGCGTCTTCTCTCCAGGAGACTCTAAGGTCTGTGAGAGAGGAACTTGTTATGAGTCTTGGCAGCATGTGCAGATTGCTGGTGATCTTAGATGAGTCTGTTGTTTGCCTTCAAAAATCTAGTTGTATGAAGGTAGAGACTCACTTTGTTGTGCTAGAAATGAGAAGTTATTCTAAATATAGTTATTAACTATGTGGGAAACATACAGTCTATCCCTTGACTTTTGGTGAACTATCAGGAGATGTTGAAGAAGATTCTGGACATACCCTTCAGAAGTGGACATATACATACAACTATATGAAAATCTCATGTTTAAAGGGTTTTTGACCCTCAGAACCATCCCATTGCTCTGTAGTAGTTTATTGATAATAGATCCTGAACACCATCTCTGTGTCATCATTCAATTAAAATCTGTCTTGTGCGTGATTTCCATAGTTAAGCTAGTGGAATAAATGAATAATCGTATCTTTGCTTCATTTATTTTAGAAATAATCAACTGGTAGATTCTTTTCAAGAGTGCAGGGCTAGAACAAGAGGAAATTTGAGGGCCTGGGCGATTGAGTGGAGATTACAAACTGAGAACAAGGTTATAGGACAATGACTGAAAGAACATTAGAAGGAGTGATTATGTGGATTAGGTCAAAGGTTTAGGTGGATAGAACCAAGAATGCATTTAAGACCTGGAGGTAAATGCTGCTGTCCTCTGAGGAACAGTGGGGCTGGTTAAGTACATACAGAGCAAGCCTCCTCTGAGTGGCATTTGTGAAGCAACACACGCACCCCAGCACCGAAGGGGGAAAAGCAACAAGAGTTTCTGTTCAAAATGATTATAAACTGTGGACGATTTTAAACATCACATGCCTGAGACTTTCCAGTGTCAGAAAAGAAAAAATAAACCTTTGAACTATATTGCCAAGTTACTAGTCTTTAACTTTCATGAGTTTGTGGTCTGTGGGTCCAGCATCCATATCTGATTCCTGAAATCCTGGGAGTGTATTAGCTTTAGGTGTTAAGATAGAGACTCTGGATTTAACTTTTTTTTTTTCCTGGGATTTTGTTGATGATCCCATGGAAACAAAAATGACTTTGCTTGGTTTGGCAGAAATGCAAGAAAGATAAGCTGCTGGGGGAAGAGGGAACCTGTCCCAATCCCTGTCCCAAGGTCTTTTCAAAATGTGTGCGTCAGCCTGAGAAATTTCTCACATGTAATGCCTAAATCTAATTATTTAGTTTGGCTGCAAAGGATTGGTGAAGCATGCTTTAATGTTCTGATGCTAACATTGTCACAAGGCAACATTAAATCATTTTGAAATGATAATACTTCAGGGTAGTCACTATTTTTGCAGCTGTTTCTCCCTTGTCAAATTCATTTGAAACTCAACCCAATAGAATTGGTTATGGTACAAGAAAATAAAGCAAATGACAACGTCCACTTTATGTTCCTCGCTGTGTAAGCTGAGAGAGAAAATGAGATGCGAGATTCTTAAACATCTTCCTCCTCCCGTTGGCACTGCCATAATTCAGAAACTCACCATATTTTGGAAACTTCTGTGTCCCCATCCTTCCTGATTCTCATCCATCCGGAACGCTGCAGTCATTATTTCTCTAATACTCAGCTATAGTCTTTGTCACTTTCCTAGGTAAAAAATTTCAGTGGCTTTTTGATACCGACGTAATACCCAAACTCTTCAGCCTGACGTCTTATTATCTGATTCTCTTGAGGCTCCCTTTATGTTCAGCCTCACTTCTCACTGCCCCCACCTGTACTTTCTGTTTCAGCATATTGAACTACTGCAATTCCACTAATGTTAAGTGCATGATTTGTCTCAGACTCTGAGCTACATGTAGAGGGTTCCAAGATAAGTAAGACCTGGTCTCTGCTCTGAAGGAGCTCATACTCCATAGTAGGAGACATATTCAACGTGCAGTGTGTGAGCAGAATAATACATGATGGTATATGCCTTTGAACATACTACCTATTGTTCTGCTTGGAATAAACTTTTCTTTATATTTTTCTTGTAAAGCCTCTGCCTGTCCTTCAAGACTGTTCTCAAATATCACCTCTTTTGTAAGGTCATGCCCTGTTAATTACTTGAAAGATTTGTTAACATTCTGTGTAGATGTCTATTAGAATTTATTTTGCTTATATTATACTGTCTGTACTTATCTCTTTGCACGTTGATGTGCGAGTTTCTTGATGGCAGTGCTTAGCCATCCCACAGCCCTAACTGTGTGCTCAATACTTCGCATGTACTAGAAGCTTATAAATATTTGTGGACAGAATAATATTCCAAAAATATTTTTTAAAAATAGAGATACTCTAATCTTGATAAACCAGATTTAATGGAAGATGAAATAATATTCTTCTTTAATAAAATTTACTTGGCCCAAACTGGAATTTAACAAAGTAACAGTTAACATTTATTAAACTTTTCCCATCTTCAAGGCACTGTTCTCAGAACTTTATATAAAATTACTTACATTCATCACCAAGAGAATTATGAGTTGAGAAATATGACTTTTTTATAGATTTTTGTATAGAGTTTAAAAACACATCATCATTATTATAATAGCTGATAGTTACAGAGCACCTACCGTGTGACAGGCGCTATTCTAATACTGATCATATATTAACTCATTATTGCTCACACCTCTGTGATTTATTACATAGTTTCTATTAATTATTATCTTCATTTTAGAGATGAGAAAACCAAGGCACGGAGAAGTTAAATGTCTTGTCCTCGATCATACAGCCAGAGTTGCCAGGCCATGATCTGCCCCAGCTGGTCTGGCCCTAGAGCTCACACCCTCTCTTGTCAGGCTAAGTCACAGTTAATTCTGTAATTAATGTTACAGTGCATGGTTCAGAATAGTTGATTATTATCCAAGGGCACTGAAATAGTATGGATTTATATTATAACCTATTTTCCTGTATTAGTTGGGTCAAGATATACTCTTGGAAATCTCATGTGCTTTCCATTTTTCCCATTGCCTGATTGAATAAAAGTTTGTGTGAAATGTTTTCTCTTGTTCAGGCTTCAGATCATATCGGTCGTATCTATTCTCTCAGTTCCATTCCTCTCCCTCCTGTTCTACTTGACAATCAGTATGGAATATTTGTTGGCTCCCAGCCCTGCCCCCCCAAAAAGGCTCATTACATTTGAAGATGATAAAATATATTATTCCATTGTGTCTCTGGTCTGAAAAACTATTAAAGATTTATTTAACTTAATAGAAAAATAATTAGTATAGAGTTCAGACTTCCATCCAGTGTGCACAAACCATGAGTTATAAATATTAATGAGACGTTTGTTTGGTAAAGCCACATTCACTTGAGAATTCAAAAAGTATCATATCTTCTTCAGCATACAACCTTTTGGTTTGTCAGAATTAAGACAAGAAATCTATCTTAGTGGCTAAGGGAAATAACATTTAACCATCGTAAATTAGAAACAAGAGTGAAAGGAATTCTCAAAAATATGAGATAATAAAACTCAATGGTGGGTAGCTAGACTATATAGCCTTTAAATTTAAGGAGCTCAAATATCCATTTTCCAGAGGTTGAAAACTGCCATTACACATTTTAGAAGTATCTTGATGCCTGTTTCTGGGACATTATCTCTTTTTATTTTTCTCAATTAATAATGAATTGCTTGAACATTATTGTTTAAAATCCAGTAACAAATAATGGACTTTAATAAGTGATGAGTGATATTTTTACCTTGTTGATATTTAATACTCCAGGGTTGTAGAAAATGAGATGGTATGTTAATTACTTGGGGTAAAACATATTGAAAAGATTTGGGTTACTGTAAACCCAGACCTAAATTTAAATAGGAATCTGTCCATATCATAATCATAACTGATACAAAGAATCAGGACCTATAGACCAAAGATAAAGGGAGATTGTGACTGAGGTTATATCATCAGCTTTCCCACCGTATTTTTGTGACTTTAGGGCGTGTGGCTTCACCTTGATGGAATTAAATGCCTTTATTTATAAAATCATGAATTTGCACTAATTGATTGACTTCTTGCTTTACAGTTGTGATTCTGTTACTGATTCAGGGTCACATCTCTTTCAGAATCTATTGCTTCTTTGTTTATGTCTTCCTGAATATATGAAATAGGCACAGTGTAATCTTTAAGACATGGGCATCAATCTGAACACCGTCAAAAGTAGAAGGGGAAAAAAATGCCTGTGATTGATCACACACTTAGTTTGCTGCTTACTTTTGCAATACTACTTTGCAAATATTACTGTAGGTAGTGTATTTACAAGTTTGCTAATATTACTATAGGTAGGTGCTTTAATTTATAACTTAAGAAGGTGAACACAGAGTTGTGAAAAATTTTGCTTTTAATTGCTTTTGTGTTAATATGTTTTACATTCATTTTAATATCATGCATTTTTGATACATCAGATAAATATTGTATCAATAAAATAGAAGTATAATAAATTACATCTATTTCGAATGAGTATGTGCTAAAAACTGTATATTGTTTGCATATATTTAAATTGGAGCTTTCCTATATATATGCATTTACCAAATGGAACAATATATGTATGCAAGCAAATAATATTTTGCTTATTAAGAATTTTTTCTTTCTGTCCTTCTTTTGCTTTTCCATAGACTTGCTGCTTTCAAATAGCTGCATTCCCTTTTTGGGCTCATCAGAAGGACTGGACTTCCAAACCATTCTATTAGATGAGGAGAGGGGCAGGCTGCTCCTGGGAGCCAAGGACCACATCTTCCTGCTCAGTCTGGTTGACTTGAACAAAAATTTTAAGAAGGTCAGTTTATTTCTGTATGGTTGACTAGATGCATTTATTTCCATCGATGCCCTTTTCCTTCTCTTTTGTTTTAAGTGACTAGACATCGAACTCAATAGGTCATTTTCATGTCAAAAAAAGAACGTACTGAAGGTACTTATTTTGGTGAGGATTGGGGGAAGGTAATTAGGTTTATTAATTAGTTAATTACTTTAATGGAGGTACTGGAGATTGAACCCAGGATCTTGTGCATGCTAATCAGGCATCCTACCACTGAGCTATACCCTCCCCACCAAAAGTACTTACTACCTCTATACATGTTTTAGATTTTTAGGGACTTAAGTATATATGCAAGTTCTCGGTTAAAAAATGAATGAGTGTGGTACTAAAACCTTTGAGAATATGAATGAAAGGCATGAAAAATTAGTGAATGAATACTACATTATAGAATAGAAATGTAAAGTCTGGATTTAAAACCTGGAGAATGAATTATTCATCAAGAATTAATATTTATGTCTGTAGCAATTCTTATAAAATTAAATTTTTCTTAACTTTAAAAGAACAAATAAGCATTCCTTAAAAATGATAGTGTGACTATGGTAGCAGTTTAACACCGCACTGTTTTCTCCATACTCTCACCTTATGTCTGAACAGGTTTCTTCTATGGCCTGATCACACTCAGATAGTGCAGATTAATAATGCCCTACTACGGGCTCTTTGAGAACAATTTTTCCACTTAAAGGAAATATATGCTAGTTATTCAAAACCCCAAAAGCAATCGCTGCTGTGTCCAACATTCTCAACTGACACTGTGATACCCAAAGAAGGACTGTCACACTTTAGGTCTTAGCAATTATTATTAGCTAGTAATTTAGCAAATACCATTACCTATGCAAACATAAATGGATACCAAGGCTAGAAGAGATGAATTACTGATGAGAAGACATAATATATGAACTATTAGGCATCTAGGAGGTATCTGGCTTTTTTCCCTTCTTCTCCAGAGGTATTGAAAAAGAAATACTAGGCGTCACTGCAAGATTTCAGGTCAGTAGTTCCCAATACTGAATTAAAAGAGGCTTCTTTCCATTTAAAGAGTTGTTTATAGTCCATTCGAGGACTTTGAAACTTCATAGAGCTTTCATCTACAATGACCACTTTAACTTAACCCTCTAATTTTGAGATGTTTTTAATAACTAAATATCAGTTGTTCAGTTATTTGAATATTATCAGCACTCAGGGCTTTGTTCTACATAGGCAAAATACTTATTACCATATGTGCTAATGTTGCTTAATTAACACCCACATTGGAAACAATGTTTTTGCTCTTCTAATCATTTAATTTTTAAGTAGTACTTCCCCACATTTTGGAGCCCGCCAAAGGAAAAGAAATACTTTTTTATGAATGCTCAGGTGTGATAAAGAAATAACCTTTGAATGCAAATGTATATGCGTGCACTTCGTGTAATCTGTGTTTCTAGAAGAAAGAATGAGGCCTAAAATATTGCCAGTATTTTTCTTGACTTGTGTTAATCCAAACACTCAAACTCATAAGGTTATTATCTTATTTTTTTTAATTATTTTTATTCTATAGCCTGGATATTGTTTACAGTAAGGTGAAAAAATAGTTGATTATATGCTAGAATTTGAAAAACTTGCCCTTCATTTTGCCTTTATAGCTCCATTCCATTTCTTCTTAAGGGTGTATTTTTTCCTTAGGAATTTTTTTTAGGTACTCATACTCCTAGGAGAGCCTGTTGATGGTATCAGCTACTATCCCAGTCATCAGTAAATACCTTAGTAGGGGATGACTCTTTTCATGTAAGAGACCAAAGAAAATCCTACTCAACTTTGCAGTTTTGCTTTAAGAGATACTACATAGCTAACAAAGCATTTTTCCAAATATGTCTCAGTTTTGGTATAATAACAAAAAGCAATTCATACTTTTAAGGGAATTTGTTCTTGTGTTGTTCTCTGCCTCAGGGATTGGAAGAAAAAGTCCATTTATCTGAACTGAGTGTGTTAGATCATTGCTTAAAATAAATTCTGATAGCATAACTTCCTTCTGTGGCTATTTTAAGCAAAATCTTTCTTTGGCTGTATTCCATGCTTGAAATGTGCTAATATTTAATAAAATGAATGTTTATGAAAAATTGATTTACCCTTACGATGTTATTGAAATAAATGGTCGTTTGAACGCATTATAAAATTAGGGTCTGTACTAGAGATTTTCTGCCTAACTGATACTTCTTTAACTTTTTAAAATGAACAAGTCATAAAGGAGTTATGCATGCAAAGGTGAGAATTTATGTTTATGTAGGTATCCAACCGTGCCAGTGCTAAAAGGTACTTACTCCACAGTAGCAAGGAAGTGTCAAGATGTAGTTGTTCAGCAGTGTTTAGACCTACGTGATTTGCGTTGGCTCGTTGCCCTTCAGCAAAAATCCAAACTCCTCAGTGGAAGAAACCGCACATGTTGGGACTCTGTGGGGCTGAAGGATGTCCTTTGTATTCTTTTAGAATTAACTCAATTACCTGTTGTGGATTGCTTAATGAGTACAAACAAGGCTGTGCCTATTGAAAAATAGCCATTATCATTTCATATTTGCCACAAGCCTTTGGTACAGAATCACCAGAAATTATGGCAAAATCATTTACAAAACTAATCCAGTAACGAATGTTTAATAGTATCCTTCTTATTATCTTTACTCTGTTCAGACTAGATTTTGATCTTCCACAATGAATGGTGCAGGTACACGAGCAATAAACTTTAAGTAAATGGCTGTGAAGAAAGAAAGTCAAAATTAGATCTTTCAGGGCATTTCTACTACCTAGAAAGTAAAAATTAAATAGACTGAGTTTTTTAAAAGTTTTATTTTTAATTTTTTTAAAAAACTGACATTTAGATAAGAGGGAAAAAAGATTCTGTTTGTTTGTTTGTTTGTTTGCTTGCTTGTTTGTTTTTGAGGGGAAGGACTATTTCTATAGGGACTTAATAGACTTAAGGGCAAGTATAAGCACACATCAATCACCAGGGATGTAATACCTCATAGTTTAAGTGGGTTTCTTCTAGATTTGATCCATAAGGTCTCTCTTTATTTAGGGCATAGCCTATGGATTCCTCTCTGGGACAAATTTGGGACAGATACTCACCTGATTCTCTGTTCCCATCCCCCAATACTAGATCAAAATAGAGCAATCAGGTCCAGTCAGAAGTGATCCTGTTCCAGGGACACAGATCTGAAACTGTATTTAACCACTCCCAACAGTTTGGTTGTTGGATGAGTTTCCTTGGAAGCCAACCATGAGATGAAGATTAGCTTATAGGAGATTTGTGGGGGAGTGTTCTTGGGAACAACACGTGGGAGAGCGTCACTAAGGAAGTAGCATTAGACAAAGGAGAACTGAGCTGTGATGCAGACCCAACAGAAGCCTTAGCTGACAGGCCAAGCTGATAACTTGACAAATATGTCAGTACTTTCTTCTTGTGTAAGTGATAGTACCATTATTCAGCTAGATTTGTCTTATAAAAGAGAATCTCTTTTCTCCTCATCTCACCCACTCACCATGACCATCTGTGTAATCTCTTAAAAAAATAAAAATCTAATTATTTCTTCCTGGTTTTTACACATCTGGCAGTTCTTGATTTCTGAGGAACTTGAAAGAACTTGAGGTTTCTGTTGACATCTAATACCCTTCCCGCCCATTTCTGCCCTGGGTTTCCTGCCTCATTTTCATCCTCCCTTCATTGTTCTCTCACTAGCTCTTTACTTTCTGCTTCCCTCTTTCCGTCTTGCTTCATTTTACTGTAACTAATGCATTAGTTCTTTCAAAATAAGTAGCTTACTTTCAAGTTTTGTGCTTTTTTTGCTACAACTTCCTAAAATTGCGATTTACTTTCTTGCTCATCTCATTCCTCAGTTTTGAAGGCATTTATCTAATTTTACTCTTTTACTATCTCTTGCTTTCCAAGAAAGTGTAACTATCTTCGTGTTTACTAGAGCATTTTCTGTATTTATGCCAGTGTCAGATGTTCTATCTGATAGAATTATCATTATCCATTTGGTAAATATATCCCCTGTTTTATTTATACACACTTTGAATGGGGCGGGGGGCTATTTTGCATGCACTTCTGATTCTCCTTTAGTACATAGTACAGTGTCATACACATAAAGGATAGTAAATAATGTTTATTTTTTTTGAATTGGTAATTTTGTTGTCTTTTTCTCTCTTGTGTGTGAGATGGATGGATATATTACTCTCAATCAATTAGTGTGCTGTCAGCTTACCAAAAAAGACCTTACTCAGGAGGTAAAAAAAAAAAAGGAAATTTATTATATTCCAGAATAAGAATAATGTCTAGAGTTTGAGTGGCTACAGAGATGGTAATATCATCTTAACAGTGTTATAAAGGACCCAGTTCTTTCTGTCTGCCGTTGTTGGTGCTGGCATTCTTCTTAGGTTGGTAGCATGATGGCTGTAACAGATTCACGAATCACATCCAGACAGGGAAATGTCAAAGGATAAAAGATCATTACTTACTAAGTCTCCTTCTTAAGAGCAAGAAAACCTTTCAAAGAATCCTCCCTCATATCTCATAGGACAGAAACATGTCAATCCCAATTCTGACACTTGAAAGAAGGGTGAGGAGACTGTGATTTGCTTACATCAATTATTAGCTGCTTTAGATAGAAGAAGTGTTCAGGAATCAGACACATTGATCATTTTCCTTACAGAGAGAGAGTAGAAAACACTTTTTCTAGAAAATAAGAACCAAAAAACATTGCTTAGAGTTTTTGTTTCCTTCATTAATGTAGGTTTCCTGAGGGAGACAAAAATTTTCTCAGACAATCAAGAAGTGTATATTATCTCTTTGGTTTGAAAATAATTATAAAGATTAGCTAGTGCTACAAGGAAATTATCTGGAAGGATTTTTTTTTCAGGAGATAGCCTTGGAAAGTATTCATTGCAAGTAAAAATCCTTGAAATAAGTTATTTTTCTCCACACGGCATGGTAAAAA